AAATTGACCGGCAACTTACATCGGAATTACATCCCAATACCTGATAAGAGTGTAAAGCAAAATATCTATGATTGCAAAAATCCAAACAAAATCCTACAGCACTGGCTACCCACCATTTTGAACACCAACACAATTTCGAGTTCAACAATCCAAAAATATTGAACACAGAACAAAACAAACAAACTTAACTTTTTAGAATTGGTTTACATCAACAGAGATAAACACATCATCAATTACAGAACAATACACATGTAAACTCACTCACAGTTAGGCTAATACCATAAATCAAATTCAATATCAATAACACACATATAACACACAAAACATATAATACAACATACAAAAGATCATTACACTCCACACATCCAACAATTCTACATAGTTTTTTATTAGGTTTCGTGGTCCGCTTGACCAAGTAAAGTCTTTTCAATTAATTAAGGTTTTGGTTGAGATAAAAATGGCAAAAAGGAGGGAAAATTCAAAAGGTGGGGTTAAGATGGGAAGTTAGTGTCCGAGTGGATCGAAGCCACCATAGCTCAAGTGGGGTAGAGCAGCGATTCTTGGCCGAAGGTCGTGAGTTCGAATCCCGCTCGTGACGCTGACTTTTTTTAGCTCAACCAAAACCTTAATTAATTGAAAAGATTCTACATAGTCCAATTTTTCAACAATTTATCTCTCCTTTCCCTAATAATCGCCTTCTATAATAATCCTGAAAGGTTATCCAAGCCCGAACAACAAACCATTACCCCCTTTTTCCCATTGTCGGCACCTTTCACCTTAAAGAAGCCGTCTCTTCATAGAAAAATGTATTTCTATCCCTACTTCCTTCCCCACCCCTGCAAAATCCATCGTATATAAACATAAAACATCAATATCTCACTGGCACTCCCAACGCGACACACAATAATGACACATCTACTCAGAAAACACACACTTTGAGTGAGTACAAATACTTTGGTTGATTCTAAAATTTCTAAATTGTGTACATCATTGTATAAATACATTTTCACATCTTACATGTATTTCTATAATTTAAACAAAATTTATAAATCCCAGGCCCTGAAGATGATCCCAAAAAAGATCGAAACGTTGGCACGATAAATAAAACGTATTTCTAAACTACTTCTAACTAAATACTCAGTTGTAATAAGTATAAATTGCAGTCTTAATGTTTTACTGTCTGGTTTTGTATTACAAAACCTCGTTATAGAATTTGCATTAAATAGTGTATATTGAAAATTATTTTATTTTATGGTTTTTTTACATCCGAAATTTTTATTTATCCTTGAATCGGTTTAACATGTTTGCTATATGGATCACGAACATTCTTACCATAGAAATCAAAATAAAATCGCTCAAGCGTGCAAGTCCAAGATAGTCATCATTGATACTATATTACATATATCCATCCACAGTCTCAAACATCGGAATTCGAAAGAAATATGCCTCCTGTCTGTTATACGCCGGTGTGGGCGGGAAAACTTTCAACCCGGAAAGAAAATCACGGATCTCGTGGCTACTCCACACAACGCTAACTCAATTTCGCATGCATTGATTTATCGTGCTTAAATAACCGTCGAGCCGGACAGAGAATGGAATTAATCGTCCAACTTCGTGGATCATCAAGAACGTAACGATGAAAAGTAGGTAGGAGCTCTAGTTTCGACCCATTTATTTTCCGAAATAACCGTTCTCTTCGGCGCTTCCTGGGGTTTGTGCGGGTCGAATCATGTCATCTGTTCGTTTTTCCACTAGATATAAAGTTTACGTCTTTCGCTATTTTTCTCTCTTTTTTTAGTTTTACACAACTTTTCACATTGTATCCAAAAAAGCGTAATATGGGTAAAATCGCAGATAGAACATTATTTCCATAGCTTTTAGCTTTGAACGTTAAATCTTTCACTCACCCTGCTCAACTTGAATAAATTATTAAATGTAATTAAATTCTAAGAGGGAAAAACCATGAGTCATAATTTGATCTCTTGGAAGAATCTGAATAAATTATTTCTGACACCATGAAAAATGAAGTGACACTATCTTAAACAAAAGCCGTTTGTTTAAAATCTTCTGGTTTATTTAAGTCAAACTGTTTCATTTAAACATTGACGCTTAGATTAAATTCAGGGTTTGTACAAATTAAATTCCAAGCGTGTAGTGCGAACGGGTGAGAAATCTTGTGACAACCAACCCAAACATTTTCCAGAGAGCTTTCCGCTTTTGTTCTTAAATTGTCCAAACTTCTCCCGCAGAACTTTAATAATAAGATTTTAGAAATTATAAATATTCAAGGTTCTTGCGATTAAAGTCCTTAAGTAAGCTCGTCGCCGAAGAATCTTACCACTACGTTGGAAAATCAAGTGAATATCGTGATTTAACTCATTAAGCATTTATTATTTGTTCGGGTCATATTATTTCTCCATAAACGCTGAAATTCTGATTATATTCTGCACTGTTAAAAAAAAAGTCCAGACAACCAGCCCAACCATTTTCCAGGGCATTCATGCATTTGTTCTTAAATTATGACCTTCCACTTCAAAACTTAAATGAGCTTTTAGAAATTTTAAATAATCTAGGTTCTAAAGAATAAAAGAAAGAGAAGTATTTAAGTAAAGACTGCTCGTCGCTGAAATAATCTTTCTCCTAGGTTGAAATATCGCGTTTGCACAAATATTAAACATTCATCTTTTGTTCAGGTGAGAATCATATTCCCTATAAACGCTGGAATTTTGATTAAATTCTGTGCTGATAAAAAATCCAGACAACCAGCCCGTTGTATCATGTGTTCAGGTCAAATCATTTCTCCATAAACGCTTTAATTTTGATTTAAAAAAAAGGTCCAGGCAATCAGCTCAACCATTTTCCAGGGCATTCATACATTGTTCTTAATTTATGACCTTTCACCTTAGAAATTAAATGAGCTTTTAAAAATTATAAATAATCTATATTCTAACACGAAAAAAGGAAGAGAAGTCCTTAAGTAAAGACTGCTTGTCGCTGAAAGAATCTTTCCACTAGGTTGAAATATCGCTATTGCACAAACATTAAACATTCTTTTGTTCAGGTTCAAATCATTTCGCCATAAATGTAGGAATTTGTAGTAAATTCACTGTTTAAAAAAAATACAGATAGTGAAGGAAACGACCGAAAAATATCTTTTGACAACCGGCCAAAACATGCAGCTTTTGTTCTTAAATGCTCTCTAAACCCCCCCCCCACCGAGCGTAAATAAATCTTTTAAAAATCCTACATAATCAAGGTTACAAAGAAAGCACGGAGAACCAACCCTTAAGTAAATAATGCTTGTCGTTGAAAAAAATCTTCCTCCTACTACGTGAAAACATTCTTCAAAACGTTACAGACACATGAAACATTTATAATTTGTTCATGGGAAATAATTCCATTATTTAATACTGAAATTTTGATAAAATTCAGTGTTGATGCACAAAATCACCAAAAATTTCTATATTGCTTACATGATTTCTGTAAATATAAAGTGGCTTGATGTTTTTTTTTACATTCTTATAAGTTCAGAAGTGGATGTTTAGCGACTATGGCGAGTAGTCAGTTTTGAACTTGAAGAACGTAAAAAACCATCAAACCACTTTATATATTTTTTTTAAAGCCACTGAAGATGGTCTATATTAGACCGAAACGTGTGACGAAATAAACGCCTGCTAAGGAAAAGACAATTTATTTCCTACCCATCATCTTAATGAGGAAATCATCTAGTACATTAGACAGCAATAATAGGCTTATTTATTGTACAGCTCTAACGTGAAAAGTCCAAAACAAAACCTAAGTTGTAAACAATGGAAAATTATTCATGGAGTTTCAAAACAATAGAATCACAACTCAAGCTATGTTGAGGAATGCTGATAACATATTTCAGGAGCTTAATAAAGACAGGTAATCACAGAATGTAATAACCGTATAAATGTGAGCGTTGTATACAGACTAAATTACGAATCGTCCGAGGCAATCAATTTCATAATTTAAAAATTTTCAAGTGTCAGGGAGGGCAAACCTCTACCACCGCCGGAGGAACAGGCATCAAACACATCAAAAGTCTTAAGTCCTGACTGCCTTTGACTTTTTTTTAAATTTTTATGAAAACTTATATTTTAAAATAGAGGTGAGATGGTCCTAAATTGACCTCAAGAACCCTGTTAATACGTTTACTACTACAGCGGACAGTTATGATGTGATGTTGTTAAATCGGGTAATTTCAGTATTAGAAATATCGACCACTTTTTCACTCACGAACAGTGTTTCAAGGTATGGTCTTGAAGAAAAATCAAATTCAGTAGTTACTGCCAAACTTTACAGCAGACTACTTCTTCACGATCTCTAAATAACCATTAACTAACGGTCACTAAACATCATACAAAATATTTCTTACCTATCATCCTATTATGGAGTTCCACAAAATCAGGATGGACACAGTGAAAAGATTTCTTCTTTCTATGCTTTGTTCAGTACGTTCAACAACTCGCAGATTGTCCACAATTTCCAATATCCTCTTACCTTCTGCTCTTGTATGCCGGGTGCCGGTGAGAAAACATCGGCCATCGTAGAAACTGCCGGCCGACAGTCGTTCATCGTGACCGGACAGGCGGAACATCCATCGGCAGGATTCCATCCACGATTCTCGGACTTTACGTTCCTGTTTTCAATTATAAAAGAGAGCAATGGAAAGTGCGCACACACTTGAGAGGGGTTGCCGCGAGAAAGGGAGCTTTTCGGATCAATATTCCGAGAGTAAAGAGCAGCCGTGGCCCGTCGGCATCAGATCATCACGCGTGGTCCGGCTGCGTACTCCTCCCCGATTGACAGCTTGAAAAGTTGTCTTCCATCCCTCATGTGCTTAGACGTTAATTTATGTCGTTTATCGGAAATCCCCGAGTGTTCGTCCTTATTTTTTTCTATAGGTCTATATTTTAAAATATCCGACATATCTCATTTCTTAATATTTTACGCGTTGTTCTGTTTTTCTGTTACAGTTGTGTGCAGCGATCGTATAAGTCAAATGAGCAGGACCTACAATGATATTGAGGCGGTTACACGTTTACTAGAAGAGGTTCGTTATTATTACTTATTTTACCATTTTTACCATCTTCTTTTTCCTCTTGTCTATCTTTCTGTTCAATACTAAACTATTTTAACGTTCGCTTTCAATTGCTTAAACAACTCTTAGAAAAAGGACTTATTCAAGGTCGGGTCACTGGGCCAAGGTTAGCTTCTCGATGCTTTGTACATACATTTATACAGTGAATTCTGTACTTGAATTCCTATTAGTTATACAAAGATCTTTTTTGAACAATTTGATTTTCTTTTTTGTTTAAATAAAATTTTTGAAATTGGGGGTGTTTTTGTTTTATTGTTAATTGTTGATACTATACCCATACTATAGGCAAATGGCTGTTAATTGCTTTTACTATTTCTGGTAGGTGAAAATTCTCCAAAAAATATACCTAAAAAAATAAACACATTGTTTTTAGCTTATCTAGGTATTTTAAAAAATTTGACTGAAAATTATCTTATTAATACTTTTCATTTAGGTTATCATTGAAGCAGAATAGTGGTTCTTAATTGCTTAATTTGATTTTCAGTATAATTCTATAATATATTTGTCATCAGTGTTTAAGCTTTTCAATTATTAATTTTTTGTCTGTAAAGATTCTCCTTGCTTAGTTCATTTTGCTTTTCAGCAACATTTCTTTCTTTCATTTTTTTTTTGTTGAGATTATTGCGTTATTTGATAGCATAAATAGTTTTTTTTTATATATATGGCATGTCAGTATGTTGGTGTTTTTTGGATAAATTCCCCCTTTGTTTTTTCTTGAACTCTTCCACCAGATTTTATTTTCTTACAGAAGCTTTCAGACCAACAACCACACCAAGTTAAGACCTCAGAGTGTTGGTTTAAAAGAAAATAAAAACTGTTGGAAGAGTTAAAGAAAAAGAAATAATACGTTGTTTTTTTTTTTGGTTTTATTTTTGATTATGTTAGGATAGATATTAGTATTCCACTTTGATCTTTGATGGCTTAATTAATTTTATTGTTAATGGTTTTGTGTCAAAAATATCATTTTTTATTTTGTGAGTGGGTATCAACTATTATTTTTAACCAATCCAGGTTGGCTTTAAAATCTTTAAAACAAAAATAAATATTCCAGCACCATTCTTGAATCGCACGGGTAAGCTTCTCAATATTTGATTATAACTTGGACTGCCCATAAAACACTGGACTGTGACTTTATTCAGTCTAATTTGATTTTCTACACATTTCTGCACCCTCGGGGGAATGGATAATTTTGGCCAAATTAGAAAAGCACATTTTCCAGTATTCTTAGGTAGTAGTATTCTAGTATAATTAAGGCCCAGCAGACTATGAATGATTTAGTCAAAAAGGAGGCCCATTTGAATATTTGTCTAGGTAATAAAGAGATCTGATTTACCTACTTGTATTAGCAGTTGTTTTGTTGGTATCAAGTAAATTATGTAGTTACCTGACCTGTAAAATACTATTTCTTTTATTATGACGACTTATCCTATTTTACCTGCCTGGCAAATGGAAAGTTTACATGAATAATTTCATAAGTAATGGTACTATGATTGGGGAGTAACATAAATTCATGTTAAAAACTAGATAAGTGTCTATGCATAATGAGAAAAGTAGCATAAAGTTAGTTACATTAAATTTATTTAGTAACTATATTGTATTTGAGGAATTGCAAGCACAATCAAAAGAAGTTACTACAAAAATTCATTTTTTACTAAAGATCTAAACTTATTTGTTGTTATTTCGCTTATCTAGTTTTGCCCTGGGGGTGCAGATTGTACATAACAGCATCTAAGCTATTATTCATTTTAGTGTGAATAATATAATATATTTTTTTTAAATCGTGGTTCAGTTCATTTTAATATATTATCATTTTTCATGGTATTTGTATCGTTACTTGTGTTATTTTTAATACCTGATCTCTTTTAGCATTTGCTGGTTTAATTATTTTTATTATTTGTTCCTTTAAAAAAGCTATTGTCAAAAATCACATTTTGTTTGATCGTTTTGTGTTTTAATTTGTCTATATTTGTAATCAATCAGGGTTATTTTTTTCTTGCTTTAACATCAAATAATTGTTAATAAATATTCTGGTAGAATCACTGTTTTATTTTTGACTGATTCGTCCCTTTTAGCCTCTGTCAATTTAATCTTTTGGCAGATCATCAAAAAGTTAGCTTCCTGATGGTGATTTTGTTCGGTTAATCAATTCGGAGGACCGAATGACTGAGTGGTTAGGGTGTCCGACTTGTATTTAAAATGCTGCGGTGCTGGGTTTGAATCCTGGTACAATGGTTCCCCATCGTAGGCGTTAAACCCTGTATCACAGGAATTACTTTTGTTTTACTTTAAATCATTATCGATCACCATCGTTAAATTAATATGATAGGAAAATATTTAAATAAATATTGGCTTTGTTCAGTCCATTTTGCTCCTCGGTATCATTCATATATTTAATTATGTAATCGGGTCAAACTTTTGTTTGATTTTTAATAACTGATGCCATCTACTTTAGCCTTTATCATATTTTAACCTGTCAGTATACATTATTTTGTAGCTATAGGATTTTTTTTTTCTGTTTGGTTTTATATGACCTGAGTAAATGTCAAAACGTCTCCATTGAAGGAAAAAGTTGTTTTTCTGACATACATCTAACCTGACTACTCCTCACTAATTCAATCATTTATAAGAACAGCTAAAAGACTGTAAATTGTTTGAAAAAATAAATGCCAACTCCATATTTTTGCTTTATTTATTTGAGTAATTTTTCTGATAGTATTCAGTAAATAATTTTAGTAAATCCTGTCATAAATATTCTAAAATTGTTCTTACTTCGTTGTCAGTATATTATTTCTGTATTTTAATTCACATTCGTGAAAGTGTTGTTTTCAAATTGACCTGTTTGTATCGGATGAATATTTTAGCATTGCCCTAGCCATTTAAGCCTTATTCTGTTGTTTTTATTCTTTCTTGTTTTCTAAATTTATTAGAAAAAAGTTACAAGGAAAAACTGCACTAATCATGAACACAAAGATCTCAAAAATCACGATATGAAAAAGATTTAACCATGGTGAATATTAGGTATTCAAAAGTTTACTTTTTCATTCAACTTCTTCAAAAAGTTAGGGAAAAGATAAGTCAATAATAAGAAAATATGTTAGTGTATCTGGTCAAGTGATAATTTGGATTGCAGAAGGAAAAAGATATCGAGTTAACAGCAAGGCTTGGTCAAGAATTACTGGCACAAAATTCTAAACTTGAGGCGAAAATCGAACAACTCGAGAATGAATTACGTATATCAAACGAGAAGACAATACAACTCTCCCACGATCTACAGAAAAAGTCTGAAATTATACAAATTCTAACCAATGACATTGATGATTCTGGCTCCGAAGCTGGTAATTTATAATTTTTCCAAAAACCCAAAACTCGGATTTCATCCTATGTTGATTATTGATTGATTGAAATTTTAGGGACGCCGACTGGTGTCAAGTTTGAAACGCTCAAAAATCGCATTGATAAACTAGAAATCGAGAATAAATCTTTGAAAAAAGAGACTTTTAGACTTGCTGAAGAGACTGAAAAATGCGAAGAGGCAGAGGCCAAGCTGGTCGAGGACCTTGTGGCACAGTTAGATCTGTGCCGCATGGACCTTGCCACAGCTGGAATAGAAGGAGAAAAAATAAAACAAAAGGAAAGTGAGTTGAAAGAGCAAGTTGACCATCTGGAGGCAAAACTTGAGGCAACTGGGGAGAGATTGGAACAGGTATAATGAAACAAATTTTTCTGTTTTATTATTAATTATAATGTATATTTTTACTTTGTTTGTGTTAAAGGCATTGCAAGAAAACGAAGAACTACTTAAAATGGTGACCATCAGTAGAGAAACCCAATGCGAATTGGCAACTGAACTTGTTGAAGTTAAAGAAAAATATTCAGAGTTGGTTGCACTTGTAGACGAATGGAGAGAGAGTGAGTAGACAAAACCTCTATTTATACTTTTAGCAAAATCTTTTTAACAATAACACTTACAGATACAAAAAAGACCAAAAAACAAAGCCAGTTGTCCGTCAGAGTGGGGCCTGTTTATTCTTCACTTATGCAAAATGCAACAAATTACAACCCAGATTCAATAGCTGCAGAGTTAGAATGTTCCTTGTTGTCCGAGCTCAGTTTAGATTCTGGTTTAGGAGCTTCCTCTACTGGTGGTGTCCTGTGAGTTCATCATTCTTAAATTCTGTATAAAAAACACAATTCATCATTACATAATTCGTTTTGCAGACCTAACTATAAAAAAGTATTTGAAACTTTCAAAATGGCATCTCATAGTAGCAGTATTGGAGGCAGCACGTCACAAACCCCAGCTCCAATGCCTACATTGGGAGGGACAGTGTTGAGTTCTTCCACAGTGTTACCCACATCTATTCTTCCAGTATCTGGCATCGATTCCTTTTCAGCTTCATCAGTTGTAAGTGACACTGAAGAAGATCTCAAAACTTTCAAGTAAGTTTTATCACATTCCCTCAATTTAGATTTGATGATTTATTTATTTTTTATTTATAGGGCTGAGCTTACACCAAACAAAGAAGAAGTCTTACAAGCTGCGCTGAGCAGGTTATCCATCTCTGACTTAGAGGCGAGAAGAACAGCCTTGAGCAGAGGAGCTCTTCCAAATTATTCAGATGATTATTCAGCTCCTGATTCTATTATGTCCATCAGCATCACTTCACCTTACACCGGCTGGAAGCTTCCAGAAAAGTTACAGGTAAAACATTTATTTTGTACTGAAAGAACATATTTAAATCCTTGCAATATTTGAATTTTTTTTCCAGATCGTAAAACCAATAGAAGGTTCCCAGACATTACACCACTGGAGTGAGCTTGCTACACCCTCAATGGATGGTTTGTTGGAAGAGCAACCTGGTATTAAAATAAGAGGAGGAACCGATCTTGAAGCATTGGGACTTCAGGTTTGTCATACAACCATTACAAATTATATTCACTAGTTTCGTGGTCCGCTTGACCAATTAATATCTTAAAAATTAATTAAGGTTTTTAGTTGAGATAAAAAAGTCAATGGCACGAGCGGGATTCGAACCCACGATCTTTGGCAAGATACGCCGCTGCTCTACCACTTGAGCTATCGTGACCTTGATCCACTCGGACACCAACTTCCTATCTCAACCCACCGCTCGTGCCGTTGACTTTTTTATCTCAACTAAAAACCTTAATTAATTGTAAGATTATAAATTACAATTTTTTAAATATTTTATTTTATATAAATATTTTTAAAAAAATGTTTTTCAGATGTGCACATTATCCGATATAGAAGAAGACGATGAGATTCATCCAGGGAAGAGCTTTTCAAATACAAGCCATGTATATACATTTACCAATAGCACAGTTATGCATCCTGATGATAATACTCATGTAACTTCAACGTAAGGGATATCATTTTTATGATGCATAATTTGGATTTGAAATATTTGCATGTTTTTTTGTAGTTTACGTGGAAGCCAGATGACAACAGCTTCAAGCAGCCGGGTCAGTTCAATTGCCAGTACACCGGTAACGAGGTCGAGACGAAACTCTACATCTACCGTCTCGACAGCGCCTGGATTGGCTAGGCTGCTTGCTGAAAGGGGCATCAAAGCTGCGACGCCTTCGACACTAGTAACGCCAGAATACAGCCCGACTGCCACGCCCTGTAACAGCCCGGAACGTTGTTCATCACCAACACCAGATGACGAATCACACTCATCTTTGGGACTTCCAGGTAAGTTTTTTTGTTTTGTTTAAATGTTATAACCATACTCAAATGGGATTTTTATTTATCAGGATTCCTCATGTCGAGTGGAGCGGAATTGTTATGGAAAGCTCTGGGCAGTGCGCTCAAATCACCAGCACCACAAGTTAAAAACTCTTCACCAGCAAAGAAAGGTCTCTTGAGGCCCGATAAAAAGGTAATATAATCAGTGTATTGCAAATAGTTTAAAATCATACATATTTCTATTTTTTAATGCCATTGGCCAAAACATTGACCTAACATTTTTTTACATAATGTACAGAAATTTAACATATTTAATAAAATATCTAGGGTATCTTATAGAGTATAAACCTCCTCCACTTAACTATTACAAAAGCAGACCAGAAATTCTAGTTTGACAAAAAGAGAAAATCAACAGGAACAAACAGAATCATATGAACTATCTCAAACCACCCTCACAGGCACAAAATGACAGCAATGAAATAAATTGCAGACAAACAATAAAGCAGCTTACAACGAGCAACAAAGCCACAAACCATAAACAAGTAAACAAAAGTCATACACAAAACCCAAAGAACACCTCAAAAAAAGTACTAACCAATTAGATAAAAACTATATATATTACATATCATAATAAAGTGGGACTAATATGGCAAGAAAAATATAAAAATACATATTTTTTAAATAATTTTTTTGCTGTTTATTAAAAAAAACAATTGTATTGTATATATACAAAAAATAAAGGGTCTGTAGTGGCCAAGTGGTTTCAAACCTGGTGTCCCCTTGGAATTTTAATTGGAAATCGTGTAAAAGGTATTATAAAGTGGTTTGACCCCTCATCCGCGACACCCAACATGTAGTTGGACATTAACACGTTCACTTCTGGATCCTTAATTTTTTTAAATCTGAAAATGAGACTATAAATGTTTCTTTTTCTATAAAAAAAAATGGGGTAACTTTTGAACAGTTTAACTGATTTACTAACGACTTTGAACAATCCATGGGAACTGGGGTAAAAAGCAGCAGCATGTTGAAGAAATACTCCTTTGATATAGGACAGCTCTGTGTGGATGAAAACATGGATCTTTGTTTGATCAATGATGTTGCCCTCTTACATAACAGGAATTTATTTTACAAAAATAAATATTAAGAATTTGTTGGATTCGTGAGGAGCGATGAAGAATATGGTAGTCTAGAAATAGACTTTTTCAATTTTTTTTTTTTTCATTTCTATCTTTATTCGGGTCATCTTCTGGGCGATGTGGTGCTATTCTTGTGGTCGTATTGAAGTTGTGTGAAATTGTTGTGATATATATTAAGGTCAAATAAGGACAAAAACATTTATCTAAACAAAAAATTTGGGGGGTTAGAAGTTTTGGCTACTACGACTGTTTTGTCTTGAATTCAATATTTTTTTACATTGACGGTTTCTTGCTTGAATCCATACTTCTACAGCATGTACCACACAATCGGAACACCATTATGTTCACTCCACCTTCATTGCCGAGGAAGGCTTTTACAAAGTATGTATCCGAACTGGCGATTGTGGAGCACCTATAGCTTATAGCTATATACCCCTTGGAAGGTGGGTTATATCAACCCTCGGGGTGCCGGTGTTTTTGAAAAAAAGCCCATTTGTAAGTATGTCAGGTTCAAACCTGGTACCTTTACCTTACAGTAATGAGCGCCATGTCAATGCCTAAACCATTGCAGCCACCAACACCCCCAAAGTGGGTATTCCTCATAAAACTGAGCACTTAATTCTCCTTTTTTAATCTCCTTTGATATTAGAAATATCCTGCCCAAGTGAAAGTTGCTGTACCGTAAACAGGCTAACACTTTACATTCAAAAAGGATATGTGCCAATGTCTCTGGTTCCTCCTGACAGAGCCGGTATGTTTATGGCTCAGCTTTACCCATCATTTTTTAAGATGATAGTTACGAGACCCATAGTTTGTATGGAGACCTAATTCTCCTTAAATCCTTACTGTTGAGAGAGGAGGGGTCCTTCGCCTTTTGGGAGATTTATAATTCTCTCAGCTTGCCTCATACCTAGAGTGTTTGAGTTTTTCTTTCTCAATCCATTTTTCCGGTTCCAACTTAAGCTCAGTTGCGGCTCTGGTCCCATGGGTGAATGCCCCTTTTTTTGACCAGTTGTTCATTTCCTTCTGTGCTTTCATGTCCGGGAACCCACTTTAAGGTAATTTTGTTTTGCCTTCCCAGAGTCATTAGGCAATTTAAGCACTGCCAGACAGTTTGGAGTAGAAAGCTTACTCATTTAGTGCCTTTATGGCTGCCTGGCTGTCAGATTTCTGGCGATATAGGTGATATCACCCCATGTTGGTCCACTTATTGCTTGTATTTGGGAGTACTTGGGTACAACTCTTGCACACTTCTTTAGTGTGGGTTTCAAATTTGGCTCCTCACCCACACCTAACAACGTAACATTTTGTGGACAAGATATTGTATGACCATTTATTTTGACGACTGGAGGACTTCTCATATTCAACTAGGCCACTATTGAAACTTTCTTCCAAGCTTTCGGGAAATATCCAGCCTTCCGTCAACTGGTGCATGTGGAGATTTCCCTTAACCATTTTTACCAATGCTGCTTCTATTCCATCCCTGCCTGGAGCGCTCCTTGCTCTTACCCGTCTGAGGGTTCGGTCGAGTTCTTTGAAAGCCCAGGGGTCTCCCTCAGGCCCTGATGCACAGTAGAGTGTACGGTTCGCTGCTCTAGTGCATCTGATTCCGGGTTGTTGTAATTAATCTAACAAATCAGCCACAACTAAATCTGGGATTAGTATTAACAAAGGGACTTAATGATGTTTACCACGATCAGCTCCTCAGCATCTCCAGCACCTATCCAGTTTCTCGGTTGATCCGATGGGTCAAACGGCTGGTCCTGGCTGGCTGAGTCCCAGACGGAGTATGGCTGCTTCTGTTCTGGCTCGTGGAATCGACTATTCACTGACTGGACATGACTAAGGTCAGACTTCTAGGTAACTGCATGGGGTGAATCTTTGTTCGTGACTCACTGGTACAAGCCCTTGATCTTGACTAACTTTTGATTTCCAAATCATCCCTTTTTATACCATTTTCTCTACTGGAGTAGGGGTGGAAAGAAAAATCAAAAGTCGGTGGCGTTCCCACACCTCATGTGGACCAGCGAAGACCTGGTTTACATGACCCTAATTTTCGAGGTCCCGCATCGCTACATATTTTTGGCCTTGTGTCAAACCTTCAGTACTACATAACTCGATGTTAGTTATTTATTTAATGGTTGTCCAGCTATTGCCACTTTATGTTTTCCAGGTTTGTAGAAACATCTCGCGGCTCCCATCTGGAACTGCAACACCCTTCATCGTTCTTATTTATTTGACCAATGGTGCAATTTTGCAGGGTTAAGTTTCCTTGGTTTGTGAGGAACATCATGTTGCTGTGACATACTTTGACCAACTGCTTCATTATTGCGGAGTTACGTTTCCCAGATTTGTAGGGGACGACTTGTTCATCCCGTCTGGGTAATCGCCCCTTTCGATTTATTACCTTTTGTTACGTGGTTGTTTAAATTAATTTTTGATTCTTATATTACTAACTACAACTGTTTCTAAGTCAGGGACCGGCTTACAATATTAATACTATCTTGAGGTTTTTTGTGAAGGTCTGTTGGGTGATGACACTAGCTTGGTCATTTCTGATTATTTTGGCCTGCACATTCTCTCTGTTTTGGACTATCTGACAAAACCTGAAACACCTGCTAGAACAAAAGTGTGTTAAGGTGGCCATTCACGATCGCTCCTAGCAGTCCAAACAGCGACGCCGTTCTAAAAACCACGTCAATGGCAAAACTGAACTGGCGTGCCCGGCTGTGCCGAATATTCGACCGGTCCAAACACCATCGCGCCACTCCAAATATCTACGTCGCGACGACGGCATGGCGCGTTCGTGAATGGGAAAACCTGGCGTGGAGGGTGGGGATTTTGGCGAGCTGGCCTGGTAGTGAATGGGAAAACCCGCGTTTTTTTGGCGCAATCTCCGTCTTTCTGTCACTGAGGAAACATCTCAGTGGTACATTCTCAAAAAGTCGAAAACTTTTATTCTTTATTGGTAATGACATCTAATCGAGATTTTATTGTTGAGATGATTGAATTGTATGAAAGTTACCATGTTTATGAAAGTGGTGGGCAATGATTACCACGATAGAAATAAAAGAAATTCGATCCTCAACCAGTTGGTCGACGTTTTCAAAAAAAAGGATACAAATGCAATGAGAGATGCGGTATTGATAACCCCCTAACAATAATCAGAAATCGTATTAGAGAACTTAAGTTCTTTGTAGTTCATCCCTGTAGCGAGAAATCGTAATGTGGTTGCCAACCTTTCATGTAGTGATGATTTCTTTCATGACTGTCTTTTGTTTTCTAATCAAGGGGGTAACAAGCTGGAGTAAATATAAATAAGACGTTAATCTTTTTTTTGTAAGGTTTTGGTTGAAATGAAAAAATAGTGTCACGAGGGGATTCGAATCCACGACATTCGGCTAAATACGCCGCTGCGCTAACCACTTGAGCTATCCTGACTTCGATAGTTCGATCCACTCGGGCACCAACTCCCCATCTCAACCTACAACCTTTCGAATTTTCTCTCTTTTTGCCATTTTTTGGTGTCGGAGAGGATCGAAGTCACGATAGCTCAAGTGGTAGAGCAGCGGCGTATTTAGCCGAAGGCCATGGATTCAGATCCCGCTCGTGGCACTAGCTTTTTCATTTCAACCAAAACCTTACAAAAAAGATTAAATAATTGAAAGAAGTAATTTGGTCAATAGAACACTAAATATAATGAATAAATAAGACGTTTCATCCATCCTTAAATAGTTCCTCCAATCAGCGGGTTCAAGGGAAAGATCTTTCATCAAATTGATGTGGGTATTGCAGCTTCTGTTCAGGAGCCACTTCTTACACCATTTCCTCTTCTATTTTTTGCTTTTAATATGTAAATAAACAGAAGAGTAGCACAAGAGATTGTCATCCATTTTGAGAAGGTAATTCACTGGTTGACGTTCGGAGCGACTGGCTGTGGAGCAGTCGTGAATGCCCCCTCAAATTTCAGGCACGCCAAATGGAGCTGTACGGCTTGGCGCGGTTCCATTTAGAGTGATTGTGAATGGCCACCTTAAGGATACACAGGCCAAAATGATCAAACATACCAAGCTACATAAATTAGTATATTTAACATTGCATAATGAGAACACAAAAGAAATATTTTGCTTCATACAGTCACATGTTAACTCTCAATACCAAAATAATATTTTTAAGATGGCCAAGAAATTATTAGATATAAAAACTCATTCTTTTTAAATGAAACTAATATTGTTTGTTACAATTTTTCAGGCTGCTTTGACTGGAATCCGTCTGGTAGAGAGGATAGAAAGAATCGGCCTCGAAGAGATTTTAGCAACAAGTGGAGGGACAGGAGGAACTGTTGCCGAACCCGGTTCTCCTAGGACGCTGCACAGAGCAGGTCTCAGGAGGACAGTTCGAAGCTTTGAGAAGGGCCCTGGGGTTCTAGGCGTGCCTGGAAGGCCGGGCACCGGAGCCCTGGAAGCAAGACTAGCTCACATACCAGCACCTGGCCAGGGCGGGAGAGTAGTGCGGCCTGATCTCGGTTCCGTTCCTTCGCCACCTGGTCTTGCTCCCTCTCACGAATCCCTAGGCACTCTTAGCTCTATATTTTTTGGTCGAAAAGGAGGTCTTCTGTAAAGCCAATATTCCAGAAGCAGACTTATTAATTTATAAACAATAATTTAATACCCAGCTGCCTTTTTTTGTTAGGTAGATGGTAAATTGAAGGTTTTTATTTATTTCTTATATCACATCCGTAGTTGTATATATTTTAAGTTAAAACCGGTTATCACCTTTTCTTCTTGAAAATTTGGAAGAAAAGATTGATTTAAGTGTAATATATTTTTTTTTATACATATATTTTGTTAGTTCAGAAGAAAGGCTGTGCATGAAAAGTTATTGTATGAAAAGCCAGACAAATTATCGTCTTAGCAAAAAATTAAACATTAATTAAAACTAGTTGAAATATTTAAAGAAGTAAATATGTCAGTATCCTTGTGATTTTGTCTTGCAATGTGTAATGTTAAAAAAAATTGCCAAAGATCTGTATAATACAAAATCAATAATTTATTATTAAATAACCTTGTTATAAAATTTAATGATCCCAAATTAACCACATTATTTGACAAATACATAAAGGTACAAAACAATGCTATTAAATATATTTACAAGAAATCAATTTGTGTTACTATAGAATGATTAAATATATTAAAAATTAGTAATAACTTGTTTTTCTGCCTAGGACAATATAAAAAAATAAAGTGTATTGCATACTTTTTACAATTTATATGTATATAAATACAGTGAAATAATTTATTTTATTTTGTAAAAACTAATCTGGTGCTGAGTTGCAAAATTGTATTCTTTTTTTTGTTTTTTTTAATTTAAAAACAGAACAAAAAAATCATTGTAGTATTAACAATTTGACACGACGTTACATATAAAGAATGCTGTTTGTTCAGTTTGTTTGATTATAGATTCCTTTTAGATTATTAGGACTAGTGCTTTTGCCAGTCTTTAATACAGATTGTGCATTTAAGCAAGCCAAGAGCACTCCGTATCTTGCATTAATTACATGTACATAGTTTGTAAATAGTTTTGAATTTACAGTAAATGATGTACAGAAGAAACAGGTTTAGTTTAAACAGATATATTGTATATTCATGCAAAATATTTTCAAAACTGCATAAACAAATATTATGTATGCACAAGTAAAGTGTTCCTTTCTTTTTTAAAGAAAACAAAATACAAAACTTAAAGTTCTTTTTATAATACTCATGTTTAAATGTTTTAAAATATGACATTTTAAAAATTGAACTTTTAAAGAAAAAGAGGATAAGAAGAAAGTGCTGAATTGTAATATCTGAAAAATAACAATAATGCAGATTTTGTAGTCATATTTAGTTTAAGAATAAATAAAAGTTATTATTATAAAAGTTTTAATTTTATCTCCCCCAAAAATTGTTGAAGTTTTAAAACCGAACACTAACAGTTTGTAAGATCTTCTAGCCCAGTCTTTCTACCTTTAACCACAAATATTTTTAAAATGGTTATATATATCTGATAAACTTTTGTGTATGAACTAATTTTAAAGATTAAGGTTTTTAGTTGAGATAAAAAAGTCAATGGCACGAGCGGGATTTGAACCCACGATCTTTGGCTAGATACGCCGCTGCTCTACCACTTGAGCTATCATGCTAGAGTGCCAGTGCTTCTCAACACGACACGCAAGAATGGCACAATTACACATTAGACAAACACTTTGAGCCCTGAAAATGATCTCAATAAAGATCGAAACATTGGGACGATAAAGAAAATGTTTTTCTGAAACCTACATCACACCAGACTGCATCTCACGATTTCAGAATAATTATCTGATCGATTAACGGTCACTAACCACCACACATTTATTTTTTATATTTGGGTTTGCAACAGCAGAAGTCATATTGACTCTCGGAGTGCTGGTGTTTTTTGTTTTTTTTAAAGCCCATTTGTAAGTACATCTTACAGGGCTGACGCTTTGTTTCACTCTTACAGTGATGAGCGTCATATCAACACCTAAATCGTTGCAGCCACCGATACCCCATCAACTTTATTGGAATTCCCGGATTACATATTAAAACCTATATGGGTGTATGGTGTACAACTTTGGGGGTGTGCTAAAAGAAGCAAATACATTTATAACAGAACAGTTCAAAAACAAACTTCTACGAAATATGGTAGATGCTCTTTGGTATATTCACAATAGCAACATACACAAAGATCTGATCAGCACATCGGCACGGAGCTCACACAGTAAGTTTATAAGCACAATCTTCGTCTAACCTATTTGAGTTAGTTCTTTAAAAGTTACGAGGTGAATTCAACTAGCTAAACTGTGATACTTATGAGTGAACTAAAGTGTGTTTATTTATAAATTAGCCATGTAAAATTAATAGATGGTCACATTTGGCCTAGAGGTTAAATTTTTACTGTTAACTCATGCTCACACTGTTTCAAGGTTTTTGTTCTTCCAAATCTCTTGTTCTTTCTATTTGGAGGAAACAGTCAAAAGTCTTTTAATTTCATTAATCACACATTGTTGTAGTAATTTTATTTATTCTTATCCTTTTTAGGATTTTATGGTGGCTTTCTCTTAGGTCAAGCTTTATTTTTCTGTATCCTAAGTGCTCTTTCATCTTCTGGTTCATTTTCTTTTAGATTTCCCAATTGTTATCTAAGATTAGAAATGACAATCATTAAAATCCCATTATATTGTTATGAGGTGATGAAAACAACCTTGTTTTAACGTCATTAACAAAACACTTCAATTATAACTATTACAAAAGAAAATTCTATTTTTACTCAGTTTTATTTACAATTAAATTTTCATTTGTAGTAGTTCCATGTATAGATTCACTGCTTTTCTTCTACTTTCTACTTTAGCCACCATTTTGTTTTATTGTACTATTTTGTCTTCCCTTTGAAAATTCAATGTTTGACTTGAATAAAATAGAAAAATGTTGAGCAAATAATAGTAAAATAATAAGCAGTTTCAAGATCATCCAGGGTTTTCCTCAAAAGTTCGAGTAAGGAGCTGAATATTTTCTTTCAAATCGGTCTTATTTTTAATATAAAAACACTTTTAAAAAATGTAAATACTAATACAAATGTATAAATAGAAAATCTATTCTCTTCCATTGTTAATCAATTGTGTAAGGTTTTAAAATACAACAAATATATAACATTGGAATATAATACTTTTTTTTTGCTTACATTTGTAATTTACCAAGTGTTAATTGCAAAATTAATTTTTTACAACATTTGTTAAGAGATTCCATGGAAACAATCTGAAAATAATATTTTATAAGTTAAGGTAAAATTTACACAATGTTCCCTAAAAGTGCAGCAGCTAAGAAAGAAGATCAAGTTAGATGTTTTTTATCAAAACAAGACAAGATGGTAAGATAGTTCTACCTTATAACAGTGTTAAAAATGACAATTTGCCAGTTTTGATATTTTAGCCAATCTCATTATTTTTTATGTCCAAAATAGTCAAACAGCATAATTTTAGTTTCGAAACAAAACATTAAATGAGGATATTTGATCAATTTTAATGTTTAGCAATACTGCTAGAACAAGTCAAATATAAAAATTGTTTAAAAATAAATTGGAATTAATTAAACTTTGGGCTTTTGATATGATCTAGCTCCGAGGCATACTTTATAAGCTTAAGCACTTCCTACACATAGTTTATTTACGTTATCAATCCTATTTATCTGACCTCTGCTTCAGGGGTGCAGCGACGAATTGTTGGAAATGAGACCAATACTGCTGCCATCCCACAATGGAGCATTCTTGGTCTCTTAATGTATGGCAGTTACACTGATGACTTTCCTATACATCCCAACACCATCATTACCACTTATGCACTGCAATTCTTCTAACCTGAACCCTTTATAAGCCACCTCCAAAATCCAAGAACACCTTGAATTTATCAGACTGGTGTAAAAAGTGGACAATATTGTATGAAAAAAGATATAGTCAATATACATTTACAAAAGAAAAACAGTATTGTCAACAATAAGGAGGTATGGGGGACGTCAGTGGCCACAACGGTTTAGGCGTTGACACGGCGCTCATCACTGTAAGGTAAAGGTCCCGGGTTCGAATCCAGTGGCCCTGCATTCGAACTCGACATACTTATAAATGGACTTTTTTTCAAAAACACTGGCACCCCGATATAACCTCTGAAGAGATCATACTGATGTCGAATTCCCACGCCTTTTTTCATATGAAGTCATAAGATTTATTCCTTTAGCAGATTAATGGAAATTATCCATTATATTACATATATTATAATTATCCATTATAAATGCATTTTCTGGAAAATATTAGTTTCTTTTATGAAGTAAAGAAGTCTTCTCAGGGGTATGGTATGAAGATTTGTATGATTCAAGAATAGTTTTACAAGGTAACATAGCCTTTTCCTAAAAATTTCAGGGCAGTTGCATAGGATGTTATGTCATTTTGGTCTCTTCTAGACATAACTGACATTGGTCATCTGTTGACAGTCCCATTTTTTTTAAGGTGATATTTAACTGGATCATATATGCCAGTTAGAGTTTTTCATTCATCTCCATTAAGCAAGACTTCCTCTTTCTCCAATTGGTCTTTGTTTTCAGTCTGTGCAGATTTGGTTGAATTCTTTGGCTACCCTTGTATGTTGTATAATGGCTATATAAGCTCGGTATATTAGCCAGAGTATGCTTTGATTGATTACTTCATCATATATAGTTTTTGTAAAAAAAAGGATCAGGGGCGATAGTGGGAACCCACAACCATGGGTCGGCAAGCCGAGAGACTATCATGTTGATCATGCTGACCAGTAAGCTACCACAGTCTCTACCCAAGACTCAACTTGATATATAAGACAGTTAGGACTGAAAACTGTGTTGACTGTCCAAACTCAACTAACTCTGTACAAGACATTACTACGACTATTCAGGGCAGAACTGTGCGGTTCTGCCAATCCATCCAGTACCTATGACCCTAATTGTTCCAATAAAAAGTCCTCATATTAAAAAAACAATTCTACATCACTAACATCGCTATTCACATTGATCTTAAAATTCCTTTTATTAACGTACTATTTTGAGTCTACTTCCAAAATTTCTGTATAAAGTTTTCATTCCATTCTAACCCTACTGCCCATGCTCATTCTGAAAACCAGCCATATAAGCTTAAATGACAATGGCCTCGAGACCTTGGCATCCTTTAAGGGATTCTTTCATTTTGAGTTGCTTTCTCTTCATCTGTATCCTCTAGGTGCATTGCTGGCCATAGTGTCAGTATTGTGACCAGGAGATGAAAACCACAAACACACATTGTAATATGTATTTTTATATTCACAGGCTCCAAAAAAAAAAAAAAAAAATTTAATCACACATGGTTATATTCAATGTTGTCTTTATTCTACATCAGGTAAATGTTTTGTAAATGTTTCAAAGATTAATTTATCCCTTTTTGTACTTTTAGCACAGCCCACCAAAAGATTCTTCAGTAAGAGATAACGAGTTAAGGAAATATAGAACTACCCTTGGTGAGCAGAAGCCAATAAAAGGATTTTCAAAAAGTATTTCGGTTGATAGGGAAAACAATGAGAAATCGCCTGAAGCACGAAGGAAATGTGTAAAGAAAGAAGTAGTCGTCTCTAATGATGACGATTTTGAAGGAAAAGAAAAAGTAAGAATAATATCAGATATTTATTATTGTTATTACAATTAATTAAGGTTTTTAGTTGAGATGAAAAAAAGTTAATGGCACAAGATGAAAAATGGCAAAAAGGAGGGAAAACTCATAAGGTGGGGTTGAGATGGGAAGTTGATGGCCGAGTGGATCGAGATCACGATAGCTCAAGTGGTAGAGCAACGGCGTATCTAGCCGAAGATCGTGGGTTCGAATCCCACTCGTGCCATTAACTTTTTTTCATCTCAACTAAAAACCTTAATTAATTATAATGATTTAATTGGTCAAGCGGACCATGAAATTAGTGAATTTAAATTATTGTTATTATTACAAATAAATGTTTAATTTATAAATTGGACAAAGAATGAAGTCACAATTTGGATTATTTTATTACTTAATGATTTCTGGAGTTAGTCATTATTATTTTTAATTAATTACATTACTGCATATATTAAAGATATATTAAATATTCTTTCTATACATTTATATATTTATTTATTTTTGTTTAACTTGTAAGAATTTACTATTTCTGGTACTGCAATTTGGTATTTTGATTTTCATCTCTTTAGAATTTCTTTAATTTAATTTATAAAAAATATATTTATGTATAATTATTTATGTACGTTAACATGGCACTCCTCACTGTAAGGTTGTAAGGTAAACGTCCCAGGATCAAATCCAACAGCCCTGCGTTCAAACCCAACATATTTACAAATGGGCTTTTTTCAAAAACCCTGAACTTTTCGTATAACCTCATAGTTGAAATACCCTTATCAAATAATAATAGTATAAAAATTATTAATTTATATGTTTATATAAGTGTTTTTTTTTTGTTATTTTACAGACTCTCCAGTGGCTTCAGCAGCATGGATTTTGTCAAAGTCCTGAAGTTCAAGAAGACACTTTTTGTGAGTACATCCCGCCGCAGAAGACAGTAAGTTTTCTTTCATTATTATTAAAAAAAACTATCAAATTAGTATATGTGATTTGCATTAATTTTTGTACATTTGACTTCCAGAGAGAAAAAAGAAAAACATTCTCTTCGGTGAATATGGTGAAACCACCGGAAGTTTCTTTAAATTTCCTGGATAGTAAAAGCCCTGCGTTGATGGGTAAAAATTTTAAGTTGGATAGCCTTAAACAAGAAGTCCCGTCAAACCGTGGTGTGTTAAACCCACCATTGGTTATGTCCAACCGAGCTGTTAATCATTTAGGGAGCAGTAAAAAAGAACTGCCCAGTCGAATGAGATGTCCTGCGATTCCAAAAGAGGTTAGCCTTCTCAGGAAAATAAAACAACCATCGAAAAAAGAGTCAGAAAAAAACAAAACAAAGCCGACTGGAAAAGTTGCAAAGATTAAAATGACCAGTCCCGTTGACGAAATGAAAAACTTTGATGCCATAAACAAAATGGTGAGCAATATTGACAAGTCGGTAAGCGACACCCAGCAGGAAATCTCGTCGATGGCGAAAAATAATAAAAACGGCCAGATCAACAAGACTTACCAAGAAATCATGAATTCAATTAGTTCAATCAAGGCAAGCATAAGATCAACACAAGGGTCATCGTCATCCCTGGATCCTTCGACAAGCGTGAAGAAATCCAAAGATTTCATCTCTGAAAAAACAAGTAGCATCACCAATCGGCTCAATCGTATCAGCGAATTGATAAACTTTGCAAAAACTGTCAGGAAAGCTGCTGACGAAGAATGAATTAATTACCTTGTAATTGTAAATCCAAATTATAAAAAATAAATAATTTTGAATGTTGCTCTAAATATGGCTTTTAAATGATTTTTTCAAAATGTTTAATTCAAATGTTACATCGAGCTAATGTCTTTTTTTTTAAGCGGCATCCAGTAACTTATAAAACACAAATCAAGAAATATCATGTTAAATATTGAAAGTCCTTAAAATATTTAATAATATTAAGCTCCAAGGGGTTCTTGCATTAAGTTTAAAAAACATCTACATATTTTTGGCCATATTGTGCCTAGTAACATTGTAAATATATTTTTGAACTTTAAGAGTAATAAATTATATAACTAACAATCTTTTTACAATATTTGATGATAAATCGCTGTCAGGAGTTTGATCAAAATTGACAATTTCGACCTTTTTTTTTAAATTGCAACACACATTCACACAAATAAATACATTCACACCTATGTACATTGCATTAATTCTATTTGGGAAATGTAGTACACAATATTCCTCCATCGGCCTGCAATAACAATCAATAACAATCAAATTGGGGCCGATGGGGTACTTTTATAAATATTCTGCCATTGACCCAAATCACGTGAACAGCTCAAGGCGCGATGCTATTCCACCATCAGCCTCTCGCCATTCACTCTAATAAATACACTCACTCATACAAAACACAGAAACACAAAACACATTTTTTGACGGCTATATACAATACAAAATTCCCAATTCCCTAATTCGACCCTTATTGATTTATGCATCAGACTTTTCTAAAATCAATGCAATTCTCGATAATTGTATTTTATATATATTTTGTTATTATTTAATATATTATGTTAGATGTTTCATAAAAGTTTACAAATTTCTGTTTAAAAAAGAAAAACTGAGAAACAATTTAATTTTATACGATGCTGAGTAGTCTGGCAATGTTGCTGCCTTAAGCTTATCCTTTTTATTTTAATTTTTAAAATTTTCTGAACAAAATATATAATTCACTAATTTCGTGGTCCGCTTGACCAGTTAATATATTACAATTAATTAAGGTTTTTAGTTGAGATAAAAAAGTCAATGGCACAAGCGGGATTTGAACCCACGATCTTCGGCTAGATACGCCGCTTCTCTACCACTTGAGCTATCGTGACCTTGACTCGGACACCAACTTCCTATCTCAACCCCACCTTTTGAGTTTTCCCTCCTTTTTGCCATTGTTCAAGGGGGGAACTCAAAAGGTGGGGTTGAGATAGGAAGTTGGTGTCTGAGTGGATCGAGGTCACGATAGCTCAAGTGGTAGAGCAGCGGCGTATCTTGCCGAAGATCGTGGGTTCGAATCCCGCTCGTGCCATTAGCTTTTTTATCTCGACTAAAAACCTGTAAGGTATTAAGGGCAGGGTTGTATTTATTTATTCACCATATTGCATTTGTATTATGTTTTCTTGGTTTCCTAGTCCGTGAACTGAATCATAAATTTAAATATGATTAATATTTAAAAAAACGTAAAGTAATTCCTGTCATACTGGAGGGCTTAACATCCAACTACTGATTGGGTATCATGGATGAGGGGTCCAACCATTTTACAATCAATTTTTCATAATTATGTATAATTATGTTAATGTTATATATAATTAAAAGCCATGGGCCCTGCTGGGGTTTGAACTCAGAACTTCTACATGGCAATTATGCTACCCTCTAGCCACCCTACGATTAATATAGTTTAGTGAAATTATCTAGTGATAAATTATGATTTAATTAAATATTAGATCTAAAAATACAAAATTGTCACATAATTGAAGTTATATTGAAGTTGACAAGTGTATGTCTGTTTTAATGTTTTCTAATCATATTAACCCCTGGAGCACGGTGTTTGAAAAAAAAATTGTATGTCCGAACCCGAGACCCTAATATATTCCTTTTTTTCTGTTCATTTAAACCTCTCTTTTTGTTTCAGATGTAGGGTTTATTTATATGTAACACCAAATTAATTATTATAATTAATTAAGGTTTTTAGTTGAGATAATTAATTGTAATATATTAATTGGTCAAACGGACCACGAAATTAGTGAAATTAATTATTATGTTGGTGTACCAAACAAGAAATACCAATTCTAGGAGACAGACTTTTGGCAAGCTTTTAATTTATTGTAAATATATTTTTTAAAATATTATTTTTGTAAATAAAAGATGGCTTCTTTCTTTCTTCTTCCTCTTACTAAGGAAAAATGATGATAATGAACTTCGTTAGGCTAAACCTTCAGGACCTATATGTAGTGCGGTTTTCTCGAGAAAAAATTCCTTTAGTTTCTGTCCTTAAACAAAACGTGTTGTTGACTTTTCCTTAATTATTTAATTAAAATTGTTGTTGAAAACTAGTTAAGCGAATGTTTACGCACTTGCCCATGTTTTCATCACTGTTGTGTTTAATTATTTGCCTCTGAGAGAAACTTTCACATCTCTTTTTGTTCAGAGGTTATTTCGGGAGAAAGTTTTAACTGTATTTTTTCTAATAATTAAACTTATCTTTGATCTTGGATGCAATGTTGGGTTTTGTCAGAATTAATGAAATGAGGACAAATGTGATCCTGAGATGGTCAAGTGGTCGCCCATGGCCTCATCGCCATCGATTTGCCACTTCAAACCCTATTTCATCGACCTCGATTATTCATCTGAATCAATGATTTCTATGTCAAATGATTTCTTTAAAAGACTTTATATTAACAAATTGAGGATTAAATTGTTTAAATTCAATCGAAATTATAATGGTTTGGTATAGAAATAACCCTGCCAAACTGTGGCAGGTTAAAAAAGACGTCGGTCCATGGTTCACGGAAAATGGGTCAAAAAGGGAAAAGGTCATACTGACAAGACTACGCATAGGTCATACAAGAATTACACCCCATTATGCAGGATAGAGTTTCAGCACCTTTTCAATTGTAGAAGGCTCGACGTTTATATGCAATATTTTGGAATATCATCGGATCTGTGTGTAGTCTTGGGGCACGGCAGCGGGCACAAATCACTGTACCAGTACCTCAGGGCTATAGGGACTTTCAAATGTATATAGTTAATGTGTGCTTGCGTTGTGTGTGATGTGTTTGTGTGGTGTTTATGTAAATATATTAGGATGAATGTAATTTATTAGCGTGAAAGGAACGGGTTGCTTATAACCCCGCCCCGAGGAATATCAAGTACTCTAGGGTGAGTGTATGAAGTCTGGAGAGTAAAAGTAATTTATTAGCGTGAAAGGAACGGGTTGCTTATAACCCCGCCCCGAGGAATATCAAGTACTCTGGGGTGAGTGTATGAAGTCTGGAGAGTACAAGTAAGCTATCAGAGCGAATGGAGTGGTTTAAACTTCGCCCCGAGGAATATCGAGTACTCTGGGGGAGCGAATGTGACCAGACTTCTATGTTTGTATTGTATGTTGTGTATCTATTCTTAACCTGAGGTACTAACAAGAGACTAGCATTTTAAAATAACGACGTAATATACAAGTAAAAGCAGAGAGTCAGTAACCAGATCGAGATGCTCAAATGGCTGCAGTTCAATACAAAATACGCGAGAAAGACAGGAAAGAGAAACAATACACCCGGAGGGCCGGCGATGACCTCAGCTGTTTGTCGGCCCATAAACCTCCCATATATATAATGGTTTGGGAACAAGGTGCATTCTCGCCACGACTACTGAGAAAAGACGACTATTTGATCTATTCTATTATTGAGTTTAACTAAATTCATCACAAAAGGTTGGGAAGTTTTTGACGTTTGTTATAATAGATGAAATCATACGGGTATTATCAATTCATGCTGATTCAGGTCGGGCGAATTCCGTCCTTTTCGACAGTTTACTGCCATTTCATGATTTGAATTGCTTTTATTGACGAATCAACTTAATCGTTAAATTATAGTTTGTTTGAACGGGTGAAATCATGGCAGTAGTATTTGAATAGTCTTTAATTCGTCGAGTGGTCGTCCATGGCCTCATCAGCAACAGCAAATAGCCACATCACGAAATCTTTTATCGTCTAATTACCATACAGAATCAATCCTGGTTCGAAGGAATAGTTCAACTCAATTCAAATGGTGTAAGTTATTGAATTAGAAAATACATTCCATTGCCACTAAAAAGTTACTATTCATCCAAGTCCTTTGTAAATTTTAGTGTTCAGCTTTTTCTAAACGATTCTCCCGATGAGTTTATTTAACAGAACAAATAAATGAGTTCTCCATGAGGACGTGCTATCTAAAGTCAGGGAAAATTCAAGATCGTGTTTCCGGAAAAGGTCATGACATTGAGCAAACCATGAGATTTTGCCGTTACCTCGGCCGCCGTAATCCTAGACTGTGTTCCTTTATGGCCTTCCATAATTTGATTACGCATTCAAAATGGTACGTATAAATGAAAATTGATCCTACAGTTCGTTACCATTATCGTCACATAAATCCAAAATTGAACATCCGCGTTGTTGACAGTATCTTTCGAACAGAACGGTTAGGTTTACCGATATAGTCTCCAAGGGAAACGATTGGGCCTCGCCAACCCGAACATTAACAACCTTAATTGCGACAAGATTCGAAAAAAACATTTTCACCCAAAAAGTTACTTAAGGTAGTAAAATCTTCCTAAGATGTTCAACTCATATAAATCGATGAAACCTAAAGACTTTGGAAACAGTAGGAGGCTTGCGGAAGAGAGTCTACATCCCTTAAGGCCAACAACTTGTCCAGCGCTTACCAGAGACCAACATCGAGACCGCTTAGAGTTTGCAAGGGATGCCGATATTGGGCAGGAACCGTAATGAAGGAATGTTATGTTTTCAGAAGAGTCCCAGTTTTCTCTCCATTTACCAGATGGACGTCTTCGAGTTTATCGAGTAGCTGTTGACCTTTGCAGCCAATGAAGCATTGCCGGAAGAGGGTCGTTCGGAAGTGGTTCAGTTATAGTGTGGAGTGGAGACAAAATCGAAGTTAGACATTTTTAATAGGCCGTCGGTTAATACCGAAATCTACATGATAGAAATTCTTAAGGAATATGTGATACCAATTTGGTTTATTGGCGAGCAATTATTGTTTGTGCAAGATAAACTGTCGCCACCAGTGTTATGTAGTGTTATGCCAACAGTGTTACATATAACAATACATCCTAAGACGCCCAGTCCGTATTCCTGATTTGAACCACACTGAGAACTTTTTCGAAGTGCTCGGACGTTGGGTAAAACGAAGAAATTACAGTCCTACAGCTTTAACTGGGCTGAAAGTTACCTTAGTTGAAATTTGGGATGAAATAAATCGAGAATTGGTTAATTCTTATTTATGAGAATGCTGAGAAGTTTAGACTGTGTAATAAAAGCAAGAGGAGGTAATTCACCATATTAAGTTGGTTTTATGTTTTATGTTCATACACAAAAATGACTTTTCTTTTTTTAATTTTTTGTTTGTTTTGTTTTGAAAGATATTTATATTTTACCAGCAAATTTATGTTTAATAAATACCTGCATTTAAAAAAAACATCGGTGTTAAGATTACTGAAAAGGCAAGGGCATAAAAAGATATCAAAATTTCAATGTGCGCTACGTTTTTTGTGGTGCAATGTATATTCTTTTTCTTTCTGCAACGACCACCGACAGACGGACGTTGTCTATGTGTATATACTTTCTTTTCTATTGTTGTAACCATTACCAGTGTGATTAAAAGTCTCTCTCACTCTCTCTCTCTCTCTCTCTCTCTCTCTCTCTCTCTCTCTCTCTCTCTCATTTTGATGAACAGGCAAAAAGTAAAAGAATTTGATGAAATCATGTTAAGAGCTGTGGCCATGAGGTGATGGTCTTCAGCTAACATTCACTGCAGAAAGATTTTACGAGCATCATAATACGAGCCGAGGCCATGAGATGATGTTCTTCCGTTAACATTCACTGTAGAAACACTTTACGAATATCGTAATACGATCTGTGGCCATAAGATGATGGTCTTCCGTTAACATTCTGCAGAAAGACTTTAAGATGTATCATAATACGAGCTGTGGCCATAAGATGATGGTCTTCCGGCAACATTCACTGCAGAACGACTTTACGAGTAACTAATACGAGCCGTGGCCATGAGATGATTGTCTTCCGATAACACACTCTACAGAAAAATTTTACGATTTATCATAACACGAGCTATGGCCATGAGATGATCAGAACGACTTTACGAGTAACTAATACGAGCCGTGGCCATGAGATGATTGTCTTCCGATAACACACTCTACAGAAAAATTTTACGATTTATCATAACACGAGCTATGGCCATGAGATGATGTTCTTCCTTTAACATTCTGCAGAAAGACTTTACGATGTATCATAATACGAGCTGTGGCCATGAGATGATGGTCTTCCGATAACACTCACTGCAGAAATATTTTACGACGTATCATTTAAGGGCGGGGAACTCGAATCACGCGAGGAGTCTAATTTTGAAAAGGCCCGGTTTCTGCTGTTTAGAGTTTAGAATCGAGAGTCGCACGAATCGATAGGGTCTCCCCTACCACAGAAAAGGGGCGTTCCTTGCTATGATAGCAGGAACCTGGCCGACAGTAATCGTTCCTGAACCCTCGTGGCATGTTGTAGTTTTGTTTACCCATTTCCATCGGCCGATTCGTTTAGCGTTGTCATGGAGGCGAATTCGTCCGGTTTTCCTCCCGAGACCTACTCGACCGCCTTCAACCTGAGGAACGAAATCAAACAGGTTAGCACGTCCCTCGACCATTTTGTCCCAGGAACGACTGACGTTTTACGACGGCACCGCCTTCCTTCCGGGATCCTCCTCGCTCCTGCCCACTTTGTTTACACAACAAATTAGCCCTCCGGCCGTCACGATTTACATACACGACCCGTCGTTATATTACAAAAAAAAAAAAAAAAAAAAATTACACATATTTAACTCATTTTAATTTTTTTATTAACAGCTTATTTTTAATTTTTGTTTACAGTATCTCTCTTCAAAAGGCTTGGTCAAATTGAAAAACGGAGTCGCCAAAATCACCTCAAATAATAAGGTAAGTTTCTTATATTATGCAATAATTAATTTGTCCATAAAAAATTAAATAGTACTGAATGGATACTCTATTAATATTTTAAAAAATTTGGTAAAAAATGTTCAAAATCTAAATAAAATTAATTATAATATATATGCCTTATGGAACTAATCCAATTTACAAAATGTTTAAATATAAAAATATATAATTATTATAAAATATAACAATATATAAACTGAAACTAAGAAAACAAAGGGAAAAAGTTTATTATTAACTTTATTATAGGGGGTCCTTTTTAAATGGCCTGGCTGAATTTCTCTTGGACCAATCATGCTGTTAAAAAAACGGTTTAATATTTTTTAGTATAATTTCAAATTTTTACCCTTTTTTGTATCAAATCATTATGTAGGACACCTCAAGCCCAAGTTCAACTTTAAAATTTCAAATACGACTCTATACATTTCATCCTGATAAATCATTTTAAAGGATTTTTTACGCTGAAAACAATGGTGCAATCGGATTTGAAATTGGTCAAAAAATGACAGAGTTTTAGGAAAAAGAAACCGGCAGCGTAATTTCGACGAGAAGCTGAAAATTTTACTGTACGTTCGCGAAAATCCGAATTTGTCTCTTTGAAATGACGGAAGGGTTTTAGGTTTTTCAAAAAGATAAAATTAGAGATGTACTCCGGGCTTAGGATTTTAAGCCTTATCGATCTCATCTTGACGGGATTTTGGGAGGTAAATATCGATTTAGGAGGCTGAAGGTCCATTCAATGGACTGATGAATCCAAGTTCACCTCTAATGGCATACAAAATCTTTGAAATTTTTATTGTCATTATCAGGTGGTTGAAAGTATCAACGTTTGATGTGGACTTATCGAAAATAAATTGATCCAAACCAACACTATAGATGATGTTGCTCTGCAACAACGATAAAGAATGATTCTCCAGCTTGATGGATGCCCCAATTCTTTGCAGGTCAGATTTGACACATCACTTCCGGGATAGGTGGTAGGACATCATCGCCTGATCTGTTGGCCTCCTCGGTCACCCGATTTAACTCCACATGACTATTTTCTAAGCGGTCGTTTAAAAAACAGTGTCTTCACCAATCATAACCGGCAACCTCAGCTGAAGAACTGCGGCAAAGAAAAGAAAATGCTTGTCAATCCATCTCCCCGACTCCATCGCTCTGATTACCGGTGAACGGTGGTTAAAAAGAGCAAATTTTTGCATCTTTACGCAAGGCAGGCGTACATGAAAGTGATTAATACATAGGAAATTAAATGTCTGGTTTATTTGTTTATTTTTAAACGTTTTCCATCCTGTCGCATCTGAAATTTTGAAGTTAAACTGGGCCTGAGGTACCCTGTATAATTTTTCTGAAAAAAAGGTAAACATTTGAAAATAGATTAAAAAATATTAAACACGTATTTTTTTTTTTTTATTGCATTATTGGTTCAAGAGAAATTCAGTCGGGCCATCTAAAAAGCACTCTGTATATAAAGTAAGAAAATAGCTAAAAAGCATGTTTCATATAAATATACCTGCATAAGAAAGATTGCATTTATGATTGTGTATAAAATGTAGAAACAAATAGTTAAATTATTATAAAATATACAAATAATATTATATAACAATTACGTAAGAAAAATTTGTTCATAGATATGTAATAAATAGTATATAAAATATGTAATACAAAAATAAACTCAAAGTAATAATAATAACGTTGGTTATAGCTCAAAAAGTAAAAAAACAATAAAAAATTCTCTTCATTTACGTATACAAAAAAATAAATTTATCAGAAAAAGTAACATTTAAAACATATGGAGTTGATAATATTGCATTCAGATTTAAACCGAAAAATAAAATTAATAATATATGCAAACTAAATAAACAAAGTAATATAATTTTATGTGGTGATTAGTGACCGTTAGTTGATGATTATTCAGAAATCGTGAGATGCGGTCTGGTGTGATGTAGGTTTCAGAAAAACATTTTCTTTATCGTGCCGACGTTTCGATCTTTATTGAGATCATCTTCAGGGCCTGGGATTTACAAACATTGTTTAAATTTAACAAATACATATAGGATGTGGAAAAAAGTGAATTTATACAATGCAAAGAATTTTTTTTTTATTCAATCAAAGTATTTCTATTCACTCTGTGAATTTTACATTTAAACAATGTTTGTAACTCCCAGACTCTGAAGATGATCTCAATAAAGATCGAAACGTTGGCACGACAAAGAAAATGTTTTTCTGAAACCTAAGTCATACCAGACCGCATCTCACGATTTCCGAATAATCATACATTGTAAGTGACAATTACTCAATTGATTGTAATGACTGTAAAATGTATACAGGAAAACAAAAACACATGGGAAACAGACATAAAAACCATAGTCATGCTATAAAAAATAATAGCCATATCACAACAGATTAACATTTCAAAATATATACCAAATTAAAAAAAAAACACATTTTAGGTTTTGATATAAAATTTAAATGACAGATCATAGAATATATATGTATTTCAAAACATAGTGCAATAATCTTAAACCAAAAAAAAATTTATTACAACCGAATGTCCTTATTGAAATCGGATATTTAAAAAAAAAACTAATTAAAAAATATATACATTAAAAAGAACGTGCAAACTTAATATTATATTGTATAATAAAACTGCATTTTGATACTAAAGAAATAATAATTCAAATAATAAATAAAAATAAAATAAATTCAAATTTAAATTTTAGCGCTCTTTTGCAATAATTTTAAGAGCTTAAAACAAAATTTTCTTAATGTGAAATAAAAATGATACAAAATCTAAAATAAGTTTAAATAATTTAAAATTCGGTTTAAACAGCTAAATTAACACCTTTGAAGAAGTACCAGGGATGTGGCCCAAACATTGCAATTGAAATCCGCGGCCAAAAATTCTCTCTTTAGTTCAACAAATAACCAACAACCTAGATTTAAAATATTTTACCACTAAATTGAATAAAAATAAAGAATTTACATTTCAAAGTATTGTTATGCTTACGTTTTTTGAATGTAGATGCTGATGATGGGTGAAAATTCCCGAACGTCAAAAAAAAAGTTAACAACAAAAAAATGATAAAAAACTAAATGGAAAAAAAGTTTTAATAATAAATTTAGATGCATATGTATAATTTTTATTATGGCATTTGTTAGGCGAAAGCTGTTTTTAAATAAGAACTAAAAACTTAATAATAAACTAATAACTTTCACGACATTTGAGCCATAATGATGCAGGATATATTTAAAAATAAATATATATCTAGGCATTATAATCCATCAGTGATCAAGAGTTAACTTTAGAGTCTTTAGTAAATAGATTAAGATTTAAAAAAATACATTTTACATGCTGAAAGGCATACACAACTTATATATGTGTATAACACTTTCAAGGACTACAAATGAGAAGAATTATTCATTAGGAAATTTTACAAATATATGGTATATAGATGGCTCTAAAACAAATGAAGGAACCATGTCAGGTGATTTTTGACCAAGCCCAAAATACGAGCAATCAAACTCATTAGGGAAGTACACCTCTTTCAACTGAAATACATGCAAACTACGCTTGTAACTTAGAAAAAAATTAAAAGAGTTACTATGACAAAATAATCTTCATAAGATCGGATAACGAAGCAACTGTTAAAGCATTAACATTAATTAGTCAGTGAATGCATCCAAAACCGGGAGAAACACAAAACAAATCTGATGATATCTTGGTACGAGAGCTCAAAGGAATTTTGGGGAACGAAAAGACAGATTCCCGGACAGAGGAGGATCTGCAAGACCACTCTGTACCTATGTTGGGATAACGAAAACGGACAGAATCCTTCATCACAGAATGTATCCAAAAAAGGCAAAAGGAGAAGTGGATAAAGTGTAGAGTGATAAATACAGTGATAAAAAACAATAAGCTTAAGGTAAAACAACCTTCACTGAGACTGGCAAACTCGCTGCTACAATTAGAAGGGCTAAACTCATAGGAGTGAGGGGTTATATGTTACGCAGGGTGGGCGACCAAGACCCGAGGTTAAATGCCTGGGTAGACTCGTACCCCGTCCCTAAAAGGTCCGGGACTTGGTCGGCTTACGTGTCCTGCATAAATCTCTTGGACTTGTTCACGTACCCAAGATTTTGGACTATTTAATCTCGGGGAGTGATTTGGTGATGTCCGCTCCTTCAAAGATTTCAAATCTAGACCTAGCATACCTATCACACTCTGCGAGGTAGTGCCTTGCCGTTTCGTCTTTTATTTAGCAAAAACGGCAAAAAGGATCTGGTAGAATACCCATTACGGAAAGGTGTCTTCTCAGTGGGCAGTGGACCGTCAGAATACCTATCAGCCTCCTAATTCCCTTCCTTGAGATAGAGAATAGCCATTTCGATTCTGCTGGTTTGATCACCTTAACAAACTCTTTCGATTGATTTGTCCGGGGGATAGATTCCACTCCTTAAGGAATTGTTTCATACCCCAGGAGTGAGGGGCACAATTTACCGGTCATTGGCATCCGAGATATCATCTACATAACATGGATATATGTAATGATGGCCTATTTGTAGGTTGTCAAATGAAGTGGAAGAAACGGCCACCCATATAATCTTCGATTGCAAAGCAACTGCTCAATAGAGAGATAACCTGGTATACAAAGAAAACCTAAGGAAAATAATTGTAGCAACGGTAGAAAATTACCTAGTACTCCTTAGCAGAAGGATCGAGTCGATTGCACTAATGAACTAGGAAAGTACTATACGCCAGAAGGCTGCATGTTTGGGGAACAAAAACCCAACTTCCTTGTATATATCTTCATCATTATCATGTGTATAACACAATATATAATTGTAGAAAGAGTTCTATGTTTTAAATATTAAACAATTAGAGTTCAGATACAGTTATAAAAATTTCTGGGAGTTAGCGAGAAACTTAAAAAAGACTAGATCTATGGTGGGCGGAACAAGGTTGAGGATTTTTTAAAATTGTT